TTATAGAAGAAGTCTTGGCCCAGCTGTAATGGTAGTGAGACCATACTAAACTGTGGTTGATATGCACGTATGGATATTCTCACAGGCATACAAGGCAGAGAGGATCAAGTTTATTTAAATTATTTTTAATAATTAAAGGATACAGAGACTACCACTGTCTCAGCTTCTGAAAGATGAAGTGGCCAGCTATTAGGTTATGGAGGGTTGCTGTAGTTAGAACCAGACTCATGTAACAGCATCTTGTAAGCCATTAAGTTCCACTGTATAAGTCAGTCAGAAAGTATGTTTTTTGTCCTGATTCTATAATCTATAGGCTTCCAAATTATCGTTTTCATGCTAACAACATTATTAACTTTGATCAATATGGTTTATTGGCAGTGATAGTCATACACCTACCACCCCCACCCCTTCAAGACTTACTTTTTGGATTCTTTATATCCCTCCTTAAACCCATACTGTTCTTGCAAATAGAGATAGGTGAGGTGGCAACAAAATGATTCTTATGTTCACAGGTCCTGGTGAGATTTAGGCAGGGGAATTTAGGTAAGAGAGGGAAGGAAGAGAGGTCTTGGGTTTAGGTTTCCTCCTTAGTCCAGCACTGCACCCTGACTTTCCTCCCAGAAGATTATTCTGCCATTCCCAACCATCACATCCCCATACTCACTATGCACTCCTTCCTCATACCCACACCTCACATTCAGTGCTTGCTCAGCCTGCTGCTTATTCTACAGAATTTAAATCTAAAATATGTTCTTTCAACTACCACAAGTTTACATTCTGGATATTTACTTACTAGGTTTGCTTATACCACCAATATTTCATATGATAATTCACCAGCATACCACAGTTGTTTTGCGTTGCACTGGCAATACAAACCAGCTGTAAACCTAGTTAAACTAGATGTATGCTTCAGCTTCTTCAAGCTACACAAAAGTGTCATGGGTATCAAGCTTCGGGTAACTCACAATGTCTTACTATCACCCTGATGCCAGTCAAATCTAAAAAGATCACTGTAGAGGGATAAGAAGAGTGTATTCTGGAGATGAGTGGGCCACTTATTATTTGATTATGAAACTCCGGGGGGAAAAATCAGTGCCTTGTCTCAGAAAGAACTTCCCCTGGAAACGTTTTGACTTCTAGCAGTGTAAGTGTTTTAAATGAGTTCTAACTCTGATCAGCCTGATTTAACTCTGATTACTAAATATCTCTGATATTTAGAAAACTATCAATAAAATATTAATTCAGCTGTGTCATTTTGAAAATACTATAATATTTTATTCTTTGCAAACAAAATAATTCACTTCCATCATTCTAAAGTATCTCAGTATTAAATGCACTGCATTGGTCATATTTGTTAAATTACATACTTTAGGGCCTTACTTTAAAGTTTACAGTCAAAATAAAATGCCTTTAACATATTGAACTGGATTTTTTCAACGCTTGACAGTGTAAAATATGACAGTAAAGAAGTTAAGTAAGAGATATAGTTCATTTCAGCTTATTCTCAGCAACAAAAGATGCCTTCATTAATATGTTCCTGTGCTATGTCACACTGCTGATTGAACTGTAGGTACAAATCAGTTGTGTCAAACTTTTCTGACCATCTTTATGGTAAGGAGACTAGGCATTTAGCTGCTAAATGCAGTGTTGCCCATCATTCCCAAGAGTCTGTACAAATCTTAAAGAGGACTTTCAATTTTCATAGATAAATTTACATCTGATAAAAAATGTGTTCAAATATAGGCTTAACATTTTCAAATTGTTCATGAATCAATCATACGAGAAAAAACAGTGCAGTGCTATGTCATCACAAATTCTTCACAGCAATAATTACAACAATATTTCACTTTCTCTTTTAACAGGATAGGGACTCTTTGCCCAGAAGTTCTATAAATTTACTTCTCAGTATTGCATGATGATCACATATCTCAAACATTAGTTAAAGTACTTGGCAGGAAGGCTATGTAAATCACCTCCTTTTGTTTTTAGTGCATTTGCCACATGTTGAAGAAGCAGCGAAAAGATTAGTTGCTTGTGCTAAGAAATCATTAAGTGGATAAAATCAAAGCACAAGAGGAAAAGTCCTGTCAAATGTGGGAGTATAGTCCAGTGGAAAATAAAATCATTTACCTTGAATACAAACTTATTCAAATTATTTGCATATACTGAAATGCCTCTTCTCTAGAAATTTCTTGTGAAAAGAGAACTCCACAAACAGCTCTGTTGGCTCTGTTTGCACTATTTGTGGAATAAGGAGCTACTCATCTTGGTTGAAAAATCTGAGTCTGGCCTTAAGCCAGTGTGGGCCAGATTCTGCCGTCCTTACCAGAGCTGAATAGTACCTTAAGCTGGGCCTGATTATGAACCGATCACTCATGTTGTGTTGAGCCGCTCTTTGCATGAATGGGGCCATTGTGAATAAACATTTACAAGTGATTCACAATTTGGCCTATGTGAGTAGTCTCACTCACATCAATGCGTCTACTCATGGAGTAAAGCACTACTAAATAAAAGTGGCAGAATGTGACCCTGTTGTAGTACTTGCCATCTAACACGAAGATACTTTTTCATTAGCTAAATGAAATGCTGCAACCAACAGACTATCATTCATTCTTTGAGACGAGGCTGATGCAAGAGCATGACAAGCTTAATGCAGGCCTGCAACTTATCACACCTCAGGTTTAATGAAGGGTTGAATACCTGCTTGTCTAACGCATAAAGTTATGCTAGCAACATGTAACAAGTAATTTCCATGGGTAAAATCGAGGATGAATATTTAATTAGAATTGTATCCCTTTCACATAATTAAAATCAGCAGAAAGATGACATAGTCTTTTATTTTCCTCTTTTATTTTGGAGGCTTAAAGCACCTAAAAATGTTGTAATGTTTTGAAAACGGATCCTTATTCTCCTCAAGCATTCTATCGCTGCAATAAATTCCTAGGAATTGTTGAATTCTACTCTTGACAGATAAAGCCCTGTAAAAATTAACTTCTTTCTGGATTTCACGAGACAATAACAGCAAGTTCTGCTATCAAAATAAAGAAGTGAACTGAGAGACAATAATAAAAATGCCTTGAAGTTTGCCAGCAAAGCTTTTGCTTCATTATCAACTAATGATGCTCTAATGAAAATTATCTGGAAATCAATTTGACATGTTCCAAATGCTACACCTTAGAAAATCATTATGTTGAAACTGAAAAAAAAGAAACCAAAAAACCCACATTTTAGAACTGGAAACAGTTTGATCTGCTAAAAAAAAACAACCTTGTATTTCCATCCCTTTCATCCTTGGGCACGAGGCGCAAGTGTCTATATAAAACTAGTGTCTTTACCTGTACTAATAAAATTCTTCTTTGCTTTAAATCAAAAGGCTTATTTTACTGCTGTCTAAACAAACCATAAAAAAGGAAAAGATAAATTCTAGCAAGAACACTGTTTCCTAGTTCTTCAGGCCAAAGTTGAAGGTAATTTTTAGAAGTAGAATAAAATTAGGAAACCACAAATTTGAGTACACGTACATGTTAAACTTTGAGTTTATTACTGGTGGCAAATAGGACAACCTTTCTTTCAATCAGCTGTGTAAGAAAGGATGTACCGTAAAATTCCCATTTTCAAGTGATCCTGACGGTTTCAAAGTTAAGTTTATTTATTCCACTGAAAGATTACAGAATGGACTCATCTATTTTTGTTTTCAAGTTTAGCCTCCTGAGTGGGAGCAGAGACAATCCGTGGGTTCCTGTGAGTTTGTTTTTGTGAGCACTGATAGTTCTGCAGTTGCTGTGATGAAACGTGCTTTCCTGATCTTCTGTTCTCCCCCCACCCACCCTCTGTTCCTAACTAATGGCCAGAGAGAAAAGCAAGAAGGAGCAAGAGGTACCCAGAGAGTTGTATCCTGTTCTAATCATAGCCATGCAAGTCCTTCTTTATTTCAATTAATTTACTTTGCCTTTATGAACCTGAGAGACTGACTGTTGCTTTCAAAGAGGCTGACATTTCACTCATCTGAAGGAGCTTGGAATGTGACAGGGGAAAGGGAGGAGAAGTAAATCAAAGCAGATAGCAATTCTCCAGATGTAAAGTATTTTTCTTCTCCTCTATTTTTTTTTTCCACAAGAAATGTCAGAAAGCCTGCTGACATTTTAATTCCTTTGTGATAGGCTGGGAGCTGAGAGCCAAATCCTGCTGCCACTGCAGTTGAAAAGATTTTTCCTATAGAATTTAAAAGGAGCAAACCAGTCTTACACTATGAAAAAAAAAAAAAAGCAATGTATGAAAAAACTGTAACTAAAACTAAAAGAAGTGTACTCTTATAAAATCTTGAGATCAGTTACAGACTGAAATTTGAAAGCCTTGTACTTTTTTCTTTTCAATTTGACCATAGTATAGCAAAAAGCAGTTAGTAAGACTGACTGAATTGGAAGTAAAACTTTGCAGCTGTTGTGGGTTCTTTTCTAAATCTGTATTCTGTTGAAAGCATCGCAGTACTATTCCATGCTCTCTTCTAGTCACCTAAGTTTCAAGATACCCTGTCTGCAACCTTGAAGATTTCATTTAAACACTAGTTGACCGACATATTCTGTATATATCTTTGAAAACTGTATTAAACACTGTGACCCTGCTTTTAGTGATATGTTTGGCAAAAAAATCTCATTATTTTTAACAGGAATACACTCAGGTCCATAAAATAAAGGAGTACCTTCTATTGTCATTACATTAGTTGATCATTGATATAACTCCGACGAGCTCAACATGAATTTACCAGAACAGCAGAGCTGGCTCAGAGCAGCAGCACAGTATTGAGAGTTAGGTCTACAAATTCCACCTACAACATGAACGATCGCATATTTCTTTCTCTGCATGGTATGCTTAAAGATTTACTTCATGGTTTCAGTATAATAAATTTATTTTTCTTTATGGAGTTATTCCCTTATGAAGTGTTCATTTGAAAAGCATCAATTTTGTATACAGGACTGCTAAAAACCAATGGACTAGACATATTTGCTTAATAGTTTTATTCTGTTTTCCAGGTTCTATAATCATATTTCATCAACTGGTACAACGAAACATATTTCTATATAAAAAAAAAAAACAACAAAACAAAGAGGGCTTGTTGAGCTTGATGCATGGTAAATCTATTTGGTTTATTCTTGTTTTATTGTTAAATATTATATTGCATTTGTTTAAGCAGACTTTGTCTATATTGTGATTTCTAGCATTCCACACACAGTAGCTTATTGTTGTGTCCTTTAAATATGGGAAATAAAAATGTTTTCAGTTTGCTATTAAAAAAAAAAAAAAAAAGAAAAGAAAATGAAGAAAGGATACTGCTATATTACATGGCCCAGGAAATATTGGCAGCATGCTCTTTGGCCTTCATCCGTAGAACTGCAATGCTGGAAGACCTCCTTTCAAACTCCGGCTTGGTTTCAAAAGCATGTCCATTGGTTGCCCCAGAAAGTAAAGAGTCAGTGAAAAAATTATTGAGGGGCATGTGGCTGAACTGATTCTGGTGGTTTGAAAAGCCTGTGTAGCCAGAATCTGTCCGAGGTGAATGGGAATAAGGTGTCATACAGGAGGACGTATCTCGTGGTAGCATGCAGGAAGTAACCACAGAACCGCTAGCTGCATTCCCTGCCCACAGATTGTTCTGAATCTGGAACATATAAAAATAAATAAAATTAAAGTTGTTTAGTTCATATTTTGCTTTCTGCAATGCTTGGTTTGCTTTACTTAGCACATCCACTATTAGTTCTCCTCTAAAACAAGCAACAAGTTCTTTACTAGTTCTCTGCAATCATATTAGAAAATACCATGACGACAATACGAGTCAAAATGCTGGATCATTCACTTAAGAGCAAGGGCTGCTGAATCATATTCCTTGCTGTCATCTGTTTGCTCTGCGGCTCTATCCTGATTGTTTACCATAGAACCCCAGGATGCCACTAGCCCAGCTACTCAGTAAAATTAGTGGAAGCACACAACTGATTCCAAAGAAAATGTGTCAAAAGAGTGCACAATATCATAGCTGTTTTGACCATAAAAGATTCTCCTCATGAGAATTCTTTCTTAGAGTAATGGTAGGAAACAGTATTAAAAGCTGAACAAAACAAACCAGGATTTCTCAAGTGACAAAGCCAAAGGAGTATTTGCAAAATTGAATATTGAGAAGCCTTGCATAATTACTCAAAACAAATGACTTTATAAAATACAGGTATAGTTGATAATACATCCAAGAGTTTTTCCTAAAGTTGTTTCAAAGATAATTTTAAGATAAAAATTCCTTTCATGATGTTTTTATACAAAATTATATTTGAGGGCATTTCTGTTTCAGCTCTCAGCCTTAACTGGCTGCACTGTGCATCCCTGGAAAACGTTGCATGACAGACTGGGAGACAAACTTTGTGGTTACCAGCAATGTCTGCTGAAGATCTGGAGTAACCACGTATTCAAGCTTTGATGTGTAATGCCTTCTGTACTTGGCAGTCACTTAAAGCTTCATTCTGAGTCTCAGCCCCTCTCCTATCATCTATGTGTAGATGTTATTTATGGATAGGTATTTTTCACATATTTGTTACTAGATGAACAGACAGACAGATTTTCAAGGCCTAGCACAAGTCAGCTCCTGTCATTATCTCAGACTCTGCATTCTTTCACTCCTCTATTGACTTCGCTTTAATCAAACTTCACATTCAGCAGCTGTATTTCTGTCTTTTTAAACTCCCTACTGTTTATACCTCGCTATCAGTACTATATGGATATACTTTCTGACACACTCTGACTTCCTTGGTCATTTCTCACTTGCACTCACCATTCTTCTATGCAGCTTTATATTTCTTCTCCACTTTTACTTATATCTCTTTCTTAATTGCTGATTTTTTTTTTTAATGTACAGATATAATACAAGACATTTGTAGCCCTTACTCACAGTACAAAACTTGTCAGCCAGGAGCTATATCCTTTTCTTTTTGTTTTACTTTGCTGAATTTGTCTTCATCCTAAAAATCTGTTGTCTGTTCAGTATATCATCGCTCCGATGCGCTGGGATTGAGCCCACATGTCTTTGTTCTCTGCTATACTTTAGAGTAATTGCAATTACTCGTTGGTTAGCCCTGTAAAGTGAATTTCCACTTCAAACATAATTTTGCCTTCACATTCCAAATCCATAGACAAAGTAATTTTCCCTTTAGGATATGTAGATGATCTCTCTAGCTGAGTGATTGTTTTCCTCCAAATTTGAGGTCAGTGGAAGAAATGAATTATGACAGACACACATACATACACAGAGAATGAAAACGTTTCTAATGCTGAGTCATTTTTTTTTCCCGTTGCCCTATTACTGTGCAACAACACATACCCACCAAACCACCTAAAGCTAAAGAGGTAAACTATGGTTCACTGAACTCATCTCGCTGAGATCTTGTGCAGATAGCAAGGATGAGATAATTAGAATGAGACAATTAGAATCTTACTTTAAAAGTTAATATTTTGAACAGCTGTACTAGCAGGGGTCATCAGGAGCTGACAAACTAATTTGGGCTCCTTGGCAATTCCAGCAGAAAAAAAAAAAAAAAAAAAAAGAAACAGTAAATGCTCCGTTTTCATTTCCTGCAGAAGGCTGGGGAAAAGCCATGGTAGCAACACGTCTCCCCAAACCGTTGGTATGCCCAACTCCTTGTTCACACAGATATGCGTACGTACAGGCATATACACACTTCCACACCCACTTGTGTGAACGCAGCTTGCCTTTCCATACACACACATATGCACAGCTAGTTGGGCACACCTCAGGCATCTGCCCCTGCATATCTTAGGCGGTCTGCTGAGAGGTAATGGAGTGAATATAGTGCCTGGGGAAGGATATCAAGGATTTTTCCTCCATCTTGTGGGCCTTCTGAGATCTACAGGAGGAAAGAGACTCCAGTGAGAGTTTCAGAGCTTTCCAGTTCCCATCCTTCCCTCCTCCCTTCAGCAGTTTTTAGAAGACTCTCAATCATCAGCCCATGGGAGACCCTCCACAGTTTGAAGTGATCCTCACATGCCTTATTACTCCTTAATTAACCTACCTGAGCTAGTTTTGACTTATAATCAGACAAACATTTTTTTTTTTTATCTTAGTAGGGTGGCTTAGTGGGGATTAAAGGATATACCGTACCTGGACCTATTTGAACTACTGCCTTGCTTACAAAAGTTTGTTGCATTCAACCGTACAGAACATTCCCAAAGAGAGCAGTACATCTCTTATGGCTCAGGATTCAAGGATTCCTGAGCGTCCTATTGCCTGGAAGGTCTCTCAGATCCTAGTATAGATTTACATAATATGGCAAGAAGAAAACAAGAGAACCTGAAAGAGCTGGACAGTGTGGTAGTTAAATGTTATGGCAACTGGGAAGTCATCCACTAAGACTCATAAGGCTTGCTCCCTTCTCAGGCTTAAGGAGTTTGGAGCCACATAGCATGTGATTAGCATACAGAGAAGAGTAGTAAAGAAGATAGCAGCTGAAAACCTTTAAGATCTAGAGAATATCTCCACTTTGATTGAAAGCCTATGCTGCACACATCCTGTCTCAGTCACAAATTGGGAAGATCAAAAACCCAATCATCTCTACAAAAATCTTTGTCTTCTTTTTTGTTCAGGAGCATTATAACTTTTTAATTTTACTTTATTGTATTTCATGGTTACATATACGTTTCTTGCAGTAGCAGTGACAGATTAAGCAACTGTTGGAGTTTTCTTTCCCTTTCTTCCTAGAAAACAAGTCATCCACTCCTGTTTCCATGCTGTTCCACTTCAGATTTTTTCCCTGATACAGCTCTTTACTGAATTGAAACAGGGAGCCGATACAGCTAAAAAAGAATCCAGAAAAAAAAAAACACACATATATATATATATATTTCAAACACATGCACACAGAACCCCGTTCTTTTTGATGGTATTTCCAGGCCAAACGGTTAGCCTCAGAACCGTCACAATAAAATGAATTTGCCCAGGCAGAGATTAGTTCAACTATGTAGCATCTATTACAGGAGCTAATCCTGAAGGCACTCATCATCCCCAAAGCTAACTCACACAAAACAACGTCTCATTTATCTGAGTTACTACGATGTCTTTCTAAGAAACACTATGCCAAATGCTACAGTCACCCAGGCTGCACAGATATAATTATAGAAATAATTTTCAAAAAAAATCTGTTCAAACAGGAACATGCATGAGTTTCCCTTTAATACAGTCATGACGGGAAGACTTCAAAAGGTTCAGAGGCTCAGTTTGAAAGTGCCCAATAACCTATGTGGTTTGGAGGTATCAAAAAATCATTCTTTCCTTCCATATTTCTAGTAGTTTGCATTGCAGTAAACTTAGTACTACCAATTTTCCTGATATTTTTATCCTAGACAAATATCTTTCAATTTAGCTCCAATGAGATTGCACAGGTGTAAATGAGAACAGAATTCATCTGCAAATCCTAAAATATATCAATGTCTTGTTAAAGAAATATGTGAACAAGCTATTCGTGCCTAAAACTTTCAAAGGGGTGTCCTAGGTTTCTTCCTTAGAGGAAGGAATCTAAATTAGTAAACTTAACTTCAGAAATGCCACAAGATGCTAGGAAAACTTAACATCTTGTCTCACGAGACAGTTACGCTTTTCAAAAAAATGTTTCAGTCATATCAATTTTCTGTTCATTTCAGTTGGTTGGTTGACTTCACTTTTGATATTAGATTTTCATTTCTTAGCAAGAATTTACAACATAAATATCTTATAGTGAAATTTAAGTGCAGAAGGCATTCTTGTCTTAAAAATAAATACAGTAATGTTTTACAATAAGTCAAAATTATCAGACCTTCTTCTGGTATGTTGGAAGGAAAAGGGACATTATGTACATGAATTTAAAGAAAATATTTTTCCTCTTAAACTCTTGTGTGATCCACGAACTATATAAAAGGCAATTCAGAGACTGTGAATGAGGCTATATACACGGCACATCTCTGGTTTCTGTTAACATCACAAACAACTTGAGCTTTGCTCTTGTGGTTACCATGAAATTACCAGAGCCCTTCAATATATTTACCTACTGTATGTTTTATACACAAACACACACACGCACACACACCCTTCCTGATAGAAAAAAAAAAGTAGGATTTCATAGCTGTGACCAGAACATAGATGGAGAGTTATGGTTGTTAACACAGTTACGATATCATTTCCTAAGCATATGACCTTCTGCTTGACACTGCAGAGGAAAATCAACTGAGGTAATAGGTCATCCCACTTGGTGTCATTGCTCTTTTTCTGTTAAACTTTCGAGCTCCTGGAGCTTCAGTCTTCTTACACAGCAGCTGGAGAAACCACATGAACTCAAATCTCCAAATTTTCTGAGTTTTACTGTCACCCAGCTTTGGTTCTCCCATCACCAAATGTCTTGACTCATGTTATTTGAGTCATCTGCCTATCCAGACTGGAGTCTATTTCCAAGAGACACAAGCATAAACACACACAGCTTCTATTTGAGTGGGCATGTGTTTTAGCGCTTCACATAGGGAACAAAATGTTAATCTCTTTTAAAATCTCTAGATATGAAGTAATAAGTTATTATTGTTGTTGTTATTACTATATTAGGTAATATCTTACGTATGTTATGTTATATGCTACTATAA